TGGGCATGGACCAGACCCAAGTGCTTTATGTACTTTCCTGATGGTCAACGTGTGGCTTGAACATGAAATTCATTGTGCTGAGCAAGCTGCTGTTTTGAGTACCATTGATTTGCTGGGTAGCTGACTTGAGAGCAGGTGAGACGGTTTCCACCTGCAGAAGAGCCTCATAAACCTCTCCATGTACTCAAAATTGCAAAAGATCTTTACAAACGTAGCTTGCAGCTTTTGCAGCCTTCATCCATACATTAAGTCCTTGGCTGCATACCTAGTTTTGAACCAAGGACTTGTTAAGAAAATGTGGTTAAAAATATGATGAATATCTATGGAATAGGAGAATTTACTATCAGTAACATGCTCATGTATTTGTTTTTTATTGCAGAGTGGTACTTCTATGTCTACAGAACAGAGAGGCTCTTTGAATAAGTTTCATCTCCGCAATTTCTCTTACATTGATTGTAATTATGCATGTTTGTAATGTATGTACATGGGAGACTATAAATATACGTTATATATTTGAATGGTGTGTTGGCAATACATTTAGATATGCATTGGTTATTAGTGAAAATAATGTTGGTTTTGTGGAAGTACACTGTGTGTGCTGTTACCATCAATACTGGCTTCATTGATTATCATATGTGTTATAGCGTAGAATAACAAAGAAACTAATAATTATTAGAAACTGTGGTATTCAGAGGGTTCATTTTGAATGAAGTTCCATTTTTTAGGACCAGACCTGTGCTGAGTCTACATGGGAGCCGTTAGTAGTGTATTAATACAGGGCATCTGCATCACCATTAAAACTAGGAGAGGATCCAAAACCTCTCCTGATGCCATAAATCCAGGCATGAATTGGGTGATGGAGTTGCCTCTGCTAGTTTAAGGGAGAGAGATGTTTGAATTTATGGTCACACAGGCAGGGCAGTGACTGCGGATAAAGATTTCACTTCCTTTGATGTCTGATTAACTGAATCTCATGTAAAGGAAGTGAGTTTGACTCACTCTGAACATGATTAAGTTTTCCAGTAAACATGTTTTTCCATTTGCTTTGGGGTGCTGTCTAGTAGTGGGACACAGGGGCTAGCTATACATGTGTCCTTTTTTAAACAGAAATTCTTGCTCTGAAAAATAAGAGGTCAGCTTTCAAGCACAGGCACAACAAATAAAGCTACAGGTGTGGAAAGCAGTTTCACATCTACATTTGTGAGGCTTTTTCAGCAGAAACCGATATTCATTTATCATATTCATTATGCCTCTCTATCATTCACCTAGACCCTATATAATTATGTGTTTAATGATCTTTAACCTTCACATGAACACAGCTTGCTGAAGCTTGACGATTGCTGTAAATTATCATTCACATCTGGTAGAAGAGAGAAAATATTACTTGAAAAATACTATGCTTGCTGGCTTAGAATTTCACTTCAGTTCTGTGACTGTAAGTAGATGATGATGTTTTAATCCTAAATCCAAACAATGAAATGATCTTGGAAAAATGGCTCTTCTGTAGGTCATTTATTATAATATTTTTATATTAGAGTGTAAGAACTGCAAAACCTAGAAAAGATCTTCAATCTGCCAGCCTGGATGCTTACCATAAAAAGTATGTATGATTTCAGTAAATGCCATATTAATGGCTTGTTTTTATTAAAGAACTAAAAAAAAATTACTATCATTTTTGCCACTGTTAATCTTTGGGTAAAAAAACTGATCTTCTGCTAATCAGACTCCATTTCAATTTTAAGATTATAAAATGCTTCTAACTTTCCCACTTTTTGTTTAATGTTTAGCCCTTCATTTTATAGTATTTTAAATACCAGTATCTATTTCTTTCTTTTGATACAAAGGACTTTAACTGATTAGAAGAAACAATAGTAATCATAGACTTTTTTTCATTTTCATTTTTGGTATTTTACTAGCAATGCAAAGATTTTATAGCTTTACATTAATTTATACCAGATCTGATCTGTGAACCATAACTTCTGTTGGATAATACGGGTAAAACTTGCACCAGAGATTATACTGGCAGTCTCTCCTACTTGTTAGCAGATAGCAAATTGGAGAATCTTTGAGCATTCTCAAATATCTGTGTGGGATATCTAGTTTATCCAGCCAGTCCCTTAGAAATCCAAATTAGAGTTTTTCACTGTAAGGCTCCATGTAGTTTGGTGGACTGAGACATTCCCAATTGTTCTGCTGAGTTGTGTGTCCAGAAAATGTTGTGATATGACATCACTGTAATTCAGCTATGAATATTCTGCCAAAACCTTCATATGCAACGTTAATAATATGTAGATTTTATACAGGGATCAAACATGCTTAAAGTATCAACAATCTGGTTTATAACACAAACAGATTCTGGATTGATCTTGACAGGCTCTGGGACCCTGAAAATAGTTTTTGTATGTTGCTGACACCTAGATTGAGTGTAATCCTGCTCATAAGGACAATAATCATAGAATCATTTAAGTTGGAAAAGACCTTTAAGATCATCAAGTCCAACCTTTAACCTAACCCTGCCATCCCACCACTAAACCATGTCCCTAAGCACCTCATCTATCCTTCTTTTAAATACCTCCGGGGATGGGGACTTGACCACCTCCCTGGTCAGCCCATTCCAGAGCCTCACAACCCCTTCGGTGAAGAAGTTTTTCCTAATGTCTAGCCTAAACCTGCCCTGGCGCAACTTCAGACCATTTCCCCTTATCCTATCACCCGTTACCAGGGAGAAGAGGCCGACCCCCACCTCACTACAGCCTCCTTTCAGGCAGTTGTAGAGGGCCATCAGGTCTCCCCTCAGCCTCCTCTTCTCCAGACTAAACACCCCCAGTTCCCTCAGCCGCTCCTCGTAGGACTTGTCTTCCAGACCCCTCTGCATGACTTGTCCCCGCTTTGTATTAAAATTAGCCCCAAGAAGTCATTTCCATAAACTCCCAGTACCCCCAGGTCTTTTTCCACCAGGCAGCTTTCCAGCCACTCTTCCCCTGCATGGGGTTGTTGTGAATCTTTAAGACAAAAAAAAAAAAAAAAAAAAAAAAAAAAAAGTTGTGTTAACATGTCTTACTGGGTAGAAAAAAAAATGCAGTACCAAGCAACAGGAGAGTGCAGTTAACATAAATTAACATAACATAAATCATGCTGATTGTTCTCAAGTAAAAGCTGATGGCAACTACAAAAAGAAAAACAGGCTGAGTTTTTGGAAGAAGGACTCAGCTGTCACATGATGTCTATGTGTATGTTCATGTGGGTTGGGTAAGGAAGAGTGAACTGGATCGAGTCGTTCGTATTGACAGGCAGTTAAAGCGCTTTTAAGAAGTTATTAAAACAACGGTGTGGTAATAGTTGGTGTTGTAATGCGTTGCCCAGCAAAACGCAGAGGCTGAAGTTACATCTCTTGTAGTCAGTGGGAGTTCTGCTATTACAGCAGAGCAGAGAATACACTGGTGGCCCAGGATTTTGCAGGTATAATAAACCAGATCAGTTGGAAAACCAGACCTGACTGCTGTTGTCTGCTGTGCTCATTGCAACAATTCGAGATTCCTTTTTTGTAAGGTGCTGTTAATGAGTTTTCTAAGCTCTTATTCCTGAACAGCTAATTTGCAGATGTAACTGTATGTGACCAATTATCTACTGAAGAACCTGCAGAGCCTACTTGTGGTATGACAGAAAAATCTACTTGTGGCTTGGCTGTAGCCAGTGTTACAAGGCTGTTTTTATGCGCCTATTTTAATATCCTAATACAGGTTCTTACAACAAATGACAATGCTGCCTGGCCCTAGAAACCACTGTTGTCGATTGAAGAGTAAAATGCATAACCAGCAACAACTTCTCTTGAGCTGTCTGCACAAAAATGAGCAAACGGGAACAAGTCAAGTTGTAGTTGTTGTAGGTCATGTTGCAGCTATCCCAAACAGGTTGTACATATTTCCTTCAGACTATCTTTTGTGAGGCAGAGATAAAGAAAATAAATGGAAGATAATTTTTTTTAATAACATGTTCTTCACTTCTTATTATTCATATTGAGTGTGTTAGATTTAATAGTAAATAGAATTTAAAGCACTGTCACTGTATATTTAAGTTGTTATCCTGTATTTTTTAATGTGTTGACACTAATACATATGGTCCACCAATTGGTGTGCTCGCCCTCTCAAATTAAAAATTATTGGAGATAATCTGATATTTAGTGCTTGGCTCTGAGGATACCAAAAAAATCAATGGAAGTCCTTTGTCTCCAGTGTTCTTCAGTTCAGGCTTTTAATTAACAAAAATATTCAAAGTAAAGAAGAAAAGCTATTTTTCTCATACTGTTTCAGATTATAACAAACCCTATCTTGTTTTTTGAAAAGCCAAGTACAATCTAAACATTTTTTCTAATGGGATATTGAGGAGAATGGGAAGATGTGTGTAAGGCGGCTTCTTGTATTTCTGGAAACTTGCTTTAACAAAGCTTTCTTTCATGGGAAATGCTTTTAGAATAATGATCTTAGAACCTTTTACATTCTGCTAACAGCGAAGTTATGATTCGGTTCTAAATTTCTGTGAATGCTGTCCATTACAACATTTACATAGATGCCAGTGTTCAGTCATTTTCAGTCACCTGAAATTAAGCAGAAAGCAATAACTAAAAATAAGAAACCAGATTAAAATATATATTGTTATTAATCCCTCATTCGCCCTTTGATCTAATAGGTTAAGGACATTCTGTGCTTGTTCACTTTGGCTGATAATAGTTCTAAAGGCATTTACATTTTAGAACAGGGATTAAAAATATATATAACAGCTGCTTTTTAAATAGAAAGTCTAATTATGCCTATGATTACATTCACTTTTGATTAGTATGCATACAAATCCCTACTCTCCTTGTGTATTCAAGCTGAGATATGGATCACTGGTGCTAAGATTAAAGTACAAAAGAATAGCTTGACAAAATGTGTGGTTAGACCAATGCAAAAAAAATTCCGGGTGTAATTTTTGTCTCTAAAATGCTTTTTTTCCCCTTTTAGTTACATACAGACCTGGATCCTGGCAGCAGCAAAATCAAGTATATTCTGTCAGGAGATGGAGCTGGAACAATCTTTGTGATCAATGACAAGACTGGAGACATTCATGCAATGAAAAGGCTTGACCGTGAGGAAAAAGCTGAATACACTCTAACAGCTCAAGCAGTCGACAGGGACACAAACAAACCTCTGGAGCCTCCTTCAGAATTCATTATTAAGGTTCAAGACATCAATGACAATGCCCCAGAGTTTGTTGACGGTCCATATCATGCCACGGTTCCAGAAATGTCTGTTGTAGGTATGTATGTCTAAACATCGTCGAACTTTGATTACTCACAGTTTAAACTATGCCAGTATGCCATTGAGTTGTTGATGAATAATAAGATATTTATGATGTTGTTAGCATTAATTTGCATATTTTCAAATCTCTTCTTGGCCAAAGCTTTCATCTGCAGCACAATAGTAGAGTCCCTTAGTAGTAAGAAAATGACTAACAGATGTATTAATGTGTCTTTCTTTGTCCAACAACACTTTAATGGGCTAAATTTATATTCCCCTTATGATACTGTAGTTAGAGAATTGTTATTGAGAAGGATTTATCAAGATTTTTTCCAACATGACACTCTAATCCTATTGATATTTTGTTGATGTTTAATTATCTGTTTGTGTATTTTCATACACAGATGTAGCACTTGCAGTATGTTGATACATACTTATTTGTTTTCCTCTAAGTGCAACTGCAATCATCCAAAAACATTGAAATGAAAGATGCTGTGTCTGGGAATTGATGGTTAGACTCTAGAGTGGACTTAACCAATTAGCCATAGGATTTGCATGGAAGATGGAAGGGGAAAACAGAGAAAGCTGCGGAACAAGATTGTGAAAAGGGAAATTAACTGTGTGAAAGGGGAGAAAAAGAAAGGAGTAGGAAATAATCTTCTTAATACGTTTTACTTATATTTATTCATTTTGTCGGATTAGTGTGACTCTATTTCCTCATGGATTAATATATTAGATTTTTCTTTTTTCGCATAGTTTGTCCCTTGTTCTGTATTTGCAGATGTGTACGTATGAACTTACGGGGGTACACATTTACTTACTCAGGTCCTAAGTCCCTACTGATACATACATATCATGTGCAGGTGATCTTTAGCTGTCACTAAAGCAAAAGGGAAGTAAACCCATCAAACCAGAAGAGTCAATTTCAGGGTAACATAAGAATTCAGTATAAGCAAAGACATTAAAATCTGGCCATGAAATGCAGAGTAAATTCTAACATTTTCTAGTATTAGGTTGAGGATAATGTGCTTTTCAGCAATTTGTCTACGTCTGTCAAAGCAAGATAATTGAAGGAGTGCTAAGGCACTTTGTAAAATAAAGCAGTACCCTATCAAAAAGTTTCAAAACCATCGTTCTGTCCTGTTTAGTTAAAAAGAGGAGAAATGTGAGTAGCCGGACCATTCTCTTGCTCACATTTGGTACAATGTAAGCATGGTGTGCTGACTGGATGGTGATACCTGAGGCTTCACTTTTTTTATCAACTCTTCTCCCAACAGATTTTCATATCTTGGTTGCATTGAATTGCTTGTGCCGAAACAGATATGTGAATTTTCAAGCCTGCATGTCAGTTCTTTTACCAGAACATAGGTTTAATTTGTTAAGTTACTTTTAATTATACAGCAGCACAAACATAATATGGACCTGCTTTCAGAAGATATTTTTGCGAAGCTCTAGGCAAGAAAATGGCTTAATTAAATTAAAAAAAAAAAAGGACAAAAAGGAGGGAGTAGGAGAAGGAGGAAGGGAAATTGAAGGCAGTTAATCCTTATATGAATGGGACTTGATTGGTATTCTAGGAAAAAAGAAAATGAAAATATATTCAGGCAAGAAAAGATGGTTTCTGATCACAAAAGCTACTATAAAAATAATTTATATCTGTGCATATGAGCAGTATTTATAATCCTTAATGAAGGCATGGCCTCTATCCAAGGAGTATTCACTGTAAAGAAGATGAGGAGAAAAAACCCGAAAACTATGACAGGAAACTAGTCAGAACATCAGATGAATAAAAATCTAGTGACTTGGTTAACGTGAGGTTTAAAAGGTGGTAAAAGTGCAATGAGAGCAAGAGAATAGAAGGTAAAACGTTCAGCCTTCATGATCCCTGATCCTTGTGTGTCTTTTATGTGACGTTCCTAGGAGTGCACATTTATAAACTATTTCTCTGAAGAAGCACAACCGTACACTCCTGCTCTTTTGTTGAAAAACAAAACCTAATTCTCAGCTGCCCCTTTAAAACTTTGCCATTGTGTCACATGGGCCATGAATGACTGTAAAATCTATGCAGGATATGCAGTCAAGTCTGCGTCTTAATCTCTGATAGAACCAAATTTCACGGCTGGAAAGGTGAAGATGAGAATGTTACACCTTCACCAATGCTGCTGTTACTGTTTCCTTCTGCGTTCCTCTTTTAACCCACAGGTAGCAACATCAAGAGCTGTACTAAATGATGATCCATGAATTATTTTAACTTTCTTTAAGTTTTATTAGTCCTCTTGAAATGACTTTAACTCCTCTATAATGTTTATAGGAAAACCCTGTCTCCTTTCAAAGTTCAAGGAAATTTTGGGTTGGGGTGGTTTGGATTTTTTTTTTCTTTTTTTTAAATTTTTTTTGCCACACTAAGAGTATTTCACTTCCATTATCCACTTAATTAATTCCCCTTAAAGAGATCTCCACCCACTAGTAATTTCAGCCTTGACATTTCTACGACACAGTCATTACCAGGCACAGTGTTCTTATTCAGGATAAAACGCAGTTCTACTAAACCTCTTCTTTCCTCAAGATGCTTATACCAATTCTGACTTCTCTGAAACAGAAGAGGAACTCATATGCTATATATATAGTACTTATGTAATGAGGATGCAGTGCAAGGCATTTTATTTTTGGACCTCTGTGGAAAGCAATGCATAAAATGCAGATGAACGCATTAACCTTCCATTGTTCTGTAATGCAATGGTGAGGTTCTAACACAATGCAGTTTTTCTAATAGGTACATTAGATACTGGTCTTATGTTCCTTGCTAGAAGAGATGTATTATATGAATGTCGCTGGTATTTTTGCATGACTATACACTATGGAGATGTGAAAGTACGTGGAAACTTTTGTGTGTGATACGTATGAACGCGTGTTTGTGCCAGTACACGGGATTATCACGCGTATACGGCCACAATCCAGCCTGTTTGATTTTGATGTTATGTTTCAGTGATATCTGGAAAATCCTGCTTTCCTGCTAAAACAAAAAGAAAAGGATTTGCATGGCTTTCCTCCCACTACGTGGTGCAAAGACGATTAGTATTGCACTGTGTTATCTCCGGTAGGAATGATGCTCACTTTTCAGCTGTCTTCACAGAACGCACACCCACACACGTACTGAGTGGTGTGTATCGTCACTGTGTTCAGAGTTATTCTGAAATAATCTATTTCTCTCTTTGAGGAAAGAGAGGAGCACATTCCAGAAAAAAGTTTTGAGAACTAAATTGAATTTTCCCTTATTTCATCCTTGTGTTCCTTTCCTTTTTTTTTATGTAATTCCTATATCATCTACTATAGTAAGCCCTGTTCCCCAACTCCAAAATAATTAATTTGCTTGTGAAAGCTAATAGTGTATATGGAGAATGTGTTCTTTGCTGAAACTGAGCAGTTTAATCTTTTATTTCTGAAATCTGTGGAATCACTTCATTGTAACACTATTATATTTCACAAATAGGAAATAATTTCATTTGTCTGTAAATCTTGTTTAATCACTTTTAGATGCAAAGGCACACACTGGGAATGAAACCCAGTTAAAACCTTTTAAAAAGAGATTCAGCTAAGCTTCTGGGACTTCATGACCCCATGACTCTATTTTTTTTCCCCCATTTGTCTACGAGCTCTGTATATGTGCCTGCAGTGAAGATAGCATGTTACGTAAATGAATGAGCAATCTTAGAAGATCCACAAGGGTAATTGGAACTGGTCCTGTAGCCTATTTGAAGAAAAGAAAAGGAAAAAAAAAAAAAAGGAAAAAAAAAAAAAAACCACCCCCCCCAAGTATGTTCTGTTTCTGTGTTGCCTTCTCAGCTATGCACAGATTCACAAATTCCCTGAAAGCATGTTGCAGAAGTGATAATGGGAGCAAAAGTGTATATTGTCTCCAAACAGTATAGTTTTGGGATCTTTTTTTCAGGAGAGGAATGAGGAGTGAAATTTCTTGACTTCATTCTTAGTGAAGCCAAGAGTGTTTAGACAGCTAGTGTCATGTTGAAAGACAGAAGACGACAGAAGTAGAGTGACAAACGTGTTGGTGAAATAAAAAAGGGTACAGATGGAAAAAGAACAAAAGCCATAAGGGAAGAGATTTATCTCATAGTTTGTCTGAATTAAGGTAAACAGACAAACTTTAGTAATCACCAAATATTAAGAATTTCCCTGACAGTCATAAAAAAACCATCTTAAAATACATACAGTGGAATTCAGTCTGCCATTGCTCTAGATTTTGCCATTAACACTTGAAAATATTAACAATGTGAAAAAGCTTAGAGTAGTATTTTTGTCCTTAAGTGCTTCCATGAAAACTATTTACTGGGGGGAAAAGGTCTTTGTTGGAAAGGGTTTAGGCTTTCAGTTGAGTCAGAATATCAATTTCCAGTTTTGGCACAGGCACATCTACTTAGCAATGTTTTCCTTTGGATCAAAGTTTGCCCTTGATTACACCACTGTAAATAAGAAATCATTCCTTTTTTTTTTTTTTCCCCAAAGCAGAACAGAGTTCTTTAGTATAGCCATGTATAATAGAAACACACTGTACACAGAGTAGCTTTTCTTTCCAGTTCTCCCAAAGATACTAATTCTCTTCCAGTTACCAGTTGTTTGCAGAAGGACAAGATCTGCTGAATATTAAGTCAACATGCAATGTGTGATATGAATAATGATAAAATAACTTGATAAATTAGAAAGTTGCGATAAAAACCTGTCCTGAAATGTTATCAAGATCAACCACACTGTCTTACTGGGTTTTTTCCTATGTATTCATTGATTTCTAAGGCACTGAGGATGACTGTTAAATCAATGATAGTTTGTCACAAAATTGTAGAGTAAAAGGACTATATTACTGGGGTCAACTACAAATTAGCCCAAAGGGTAAATGCAAAGGGAGTGCAAAAGCTAAGGAAAAAACAGCAGATGTTGTAAAAATATGGCAATAATGTAACAGCTGTTATAAAATGTATATCTTTGTGTTGTCTTGTTCCTCTACTT